TTTTTTCTTCAATGTGTGTGTATTTGTGTGTACGCGTGTCTATAAATAGGGAGGTGAGGTCATCATTCATATTTATTCATGTGCTCTGGTAGCCACACGGAGAAGTATAGACCTTGGGTCTCATCCCCCAGATGCTTCAGTGTCCATTTGTGGAATCAGAGACCTAGACAGAAAACTTGGAAAATATTGTGATAAATGTCTTATTCGTGCTATAAATCCAGGACTGTCGAGGCAGCTGGGACTGAACAGTAACTGTGTATGTTAGCATCATAGAAGATTCAAGCAAATGATGGGCAGGATCTTCAGGCATGCTGGCATCTTACTGAGTAGATAATAGAAAGATTATGTGCATACAAAGCATGAGATACTGGACTTTTTCTACAGTGTTCTTGAAGCCCCTTCTATTTGGGAAACAGTGATGCCTAATTTTGCTTTGAGCACAGCGGGAGGTGAATGGAAGGAAAAGAAATGGAAAGCTAGGTGGAAGTCCAGTTCTCAAAGGTCTTCTTTTAAGGGGGAACTGATCGCAGTGATCGATGTCCAACCCCTCCCCCCACACCCACCCCGGGGACAAAACAACAGAAACGTGGGTGAAGGGAGACGGCGGATGGTGTAGAGTATGAAAATAAAAATAATTTATAAATTATCAGGTGTTTACGAGGTGGGGGAGGGAGGGGAAAAACAAGGAGCTGATACCAAGGGCTCAAGTAGAGAGAAAATGTTTTGGAAATGATCATGGCAACATATGTACAAGTATGCTTGATACAATTGATATATGGATTGTTATCAGAGCTGTAAGAACGCTCAATAAAATGATTTATTAAAATAAAATTTAAAAACTCAAAAAAAGCAAAAGCCTTCACATCATTCAGAATAAAAGTTGAAATTACCAAATAAATAAATAAGTAAAATAAAGGGTCTTCTTTTCCAGTCTGAGGAACTTGAAGGCAAAGGGGTGCCATGCTATTCCTACCAGCAGAGGAGCGGCGTGGTTCTTGTTTTAGGAGGGGAATGCTGACAGCACTGTAGAGGATGTGCAGTAAGAACTGGACACAGATGTCTGAACAAATAGCACGCACTACTGAAGAGATCGGCGAGGAGAAGTCCGCCTAGGAAATCCTCAGAGCAGTAAAGCAGTAATATAAAGATCTAACGAAAGTCACAGGAGTACAAACAGGAGAGGGAAGACGTGAAAGGCCCTCCTTGGGAAGAATTGATGGTGCTCAGAGTTACTGGATTCCAGGGTTGGTGGGCAAGACTGAGCCTGACCTTCCACGTAAAGCAGACCCTCACCATCATCCCTGGTGGTTGATCACTGAAAAGGACCAGGCCACCCAGCAGGGTGATTTGTAATGTTTTCATTTCTTTTTAAATAAGTTGCTCATGTGTATAGCAAACAGAAAACACAGTCGTCTTCCCCCTCCTGTCTCACAGCCCCACAATCGTCCTGTACAGCACTACTTCATTCCGTCTTGGTGTGCATCCCTCCGAGAACAACCTAACTGTGTGTGTATCCACAGTGGGCCCTCGCCACCACTGCCAGCATACGGAGTTCGACAATGCAGTACAGAGTAGAACCAATTCCTAGCCTTCCCAAGACTGTCCATTTTGATGGGAGCAGACAACCTCCTCTTTCTCCCACAGAGAGACTAGTGGGTTGGAACTGAGGACATGTGGTTAGGAGCCCAATGCCTGTCGGACCAGACACCGCCAGCGCTCTTATCCCCAAGGGTCTCTTTTTTTAAAGCCAGAGTTAGTGATATATTAGTTCCATAAATTGAAAAGCACTCTTCTAATTATACAGTTTTGTGAGTTTGGGCAAATACTTACAGCAATGTAGTTTCCATCAAAACAAGATATTGAACAATACCAAACCCTCCAACATTTTCTTATGCCCTTGTATCAAACCCTTTACAGTAAACCCCTCTCCCCATCCTTTTATCCACTTTCTGTCTCTAAAACAGATTTTTTCTAGAATGGCATATAAATGAAATCATATACAGCATTCTGGAGTCTGAGTTCTTCCACTTAGAATAATTCGAGATTCACCTATGTTGTGCATTCCTATTTCATTGCTTTTATTGCTGAGTCGTGTTTCACTATGTGGATAAGGACTTGAAGAACTTACTGAAGAAGGTCATGGACTGCAGTCCTGCAAGATGGATTACAATTTAATGTGAAGAATAAAAAATCCCCACAACTGGACCCATAGGTAGCATCACGATAAATGGAGAAAAGGTTGAAGTTGTCAAGGCTTCTGTTTTTCTTGGATCCACCATCAGTGCTCGTGCAGGCAGCAGGCAGGCAGTCGATGGATGGCATTGCCTTTGAAGACATGTTGCACAAGACCTCTTTAGAGTGTTGAAAAGCAAGGATGTTATTTAAGGGCCTGCAATGCAACTGACCAAGCCATGGTATTTTCTATCACCTCATATGTGTGTGAAAGTTGGACATTGAATAAGGAAGATTGACAAAGAATTAGGTGCATTTGAAATTATGGTGCTGTTGAAGCATATTGAAGTCCTCTTAGTCTTCCTGAAGAACTAACCTTTCTGTCTTGGATGAGGAACAGCCAGAATTCTCTTTAGAATAAAAGATGGTGAGACTTCATCTCACATACTTTGGACGTGTCGTCATGAGAGACCAGTCCCTGGAGGACATTGTGCTTGGTAAAATAGAGGGCCAGCCCCCCAATAAAATGATTTAATTATTAAAAAAGACACACACATCAGAAAACAAAAGAGCTGACTAGAACCTCCTAAAAAGTCCAGAGAAAATTTTAACACCTCAACAATAAAAAGATGAGTAATCCAATTTAAAAATGATCAGATAACATGAAAATACAGTTTACCGTTGAAGACATTCAACAAGCCAACAGCCAGATGAAGATCATGATCCTTAGTCATTTGTGAAATGCAAATCAATAGGAGGATGAGCTATACCTCATCCTAGCATGCAGAGCAAAATTTTTTTAAAAAGTAAAATACTGGAGAGGATGCAGGGATATTAGAACCTCCATTCACTACTGATGAGACTGTCAAGCCATATGACTACTATGCAAAGCAGTATAGTGCTTTCTCCAAATTCTCTGAATATAAATACAATACAAATCAGCAATTGGCCTGCTTGGTAGATGCCCTAAAGAAACAAGAACCATAATGTGAACAGATAGATGCACACCCACGTTCACGACAGCACTATTCACAAAGCAAGAGATGGAACAACCTAAATGCCCATCGGTGAAGAACAGATCAATAAACTTTGGTACAAACACAAAATGGAGCACTACAAAACTTAAAGAGGAGTACTAAACCTGTGAAACCTTTCAAGACGTGGATAAACCTGCTGGCTATGATACCGAGTGACATTAGTCAATCACAAAAGGACAACTATTAGACCACTGTTATTTTTTGTAAATCAAGAAAACATTTTCCTGCTGAAATAAATAGACTGATGGTTACCAGGGGTGGGGGGTGGAATGATTTCCCAAGTCACTGATTAGAGAGAAGGCACGTGTTCGCTTAGCTAAAGGGGAAGACAATATCCAACAAGATGGAGTTGGGTGAAAATGATGGGAGCAAGGCATTGGGAGGTTTGATGAGTTGATGTAAAACTGATGATCTGCTCTGTAGATCTTCAAATAATCCACAATAAGAAAAACGAAAAGAAATCTATGTATGAGGAATCAAGCTGACAATAGCAACTTAAAAAGCTAGCCAGGCTCTTAGAGGACAGTGGGCTGATGTTAACAAGTGGAAAGCAACTCAGGGAGAGGGTGAGAATGACTGTCCAGCTTTAAAATAGAGGCAATGCCATTAAATTGGACGTGTAGAAATAGTTGGGGGAAAATAGAGGGGCAGCGAAAAAGAGGAAGACCCTGGAGAAGATGGATTGCCGGTGATGGGCTCAAGCAGAACCATTGTGGGGTGGGCCCAAGCCAGGCAGTATTTGTTTTGTTGTACTCAGGGTTGCTCTGTGTTGGAGCCCACTCAACAGCACCTGAGAAAGACATGTAGATCAACATTTGTTTATCTGCTCACCAGGTGAATGGACTGTCTCTAGATTTTTTGACAGTTACCACAGCAGAGTCTGTAAACATTTACCAGCAGGTTTGTGTGAACCCAGGCTTTCCCCGGTGGGATTGCTGGGTTCTCTGGTTCAGTGTTAATAAGCTCTGAGCCAGTCCTGTTGCCTGCTTCTTATAATCCAGCTTTTCTGATGGTTTGCTCAGCATCCAGAGTATGGGAGAGGATACAACCCTGAAACACATTTTTCCTGATTTCAAACCATGTAGTGTGCCCTTGTTCTACTGGAACAATTGCCTCTTGATCCATGTGCAGGTCACATGAGCACAATGTAGCTGAAAATGAGGAGGACTTGAAGCACGTGCTGATGAAGCTGGAGGACTGCAGCCTTCAGTATGGATTACAACTCAGTGTAAAGAAGACCAGCAGCCTCACAACCGGACCAGTAGGTAATGTCATAATGAACAGAGAAAAGACAAGTTGTCAAGGATTTTATCTCACGTTCTGCAATCAGTGCTTACGGAAGCAGCAGTCAAGAGATCAAACAACTTATTGGAGTGATTAAATCTCCTGGGCAAGACCTCTTTAGAGTATCAAAAGGCCAGGATGTTCCCTTAATGTCTAAGATGTGCCTGACCCAAGCCATGCCTCATACACAAGGTGCACCTGACCCAAGCCATACCTCATACGCATGTGAAAGTGGTACGTTGACAAAGGAAAACTGAAGAAGCATTCATGCCTTTGAATGGGGGTGCTGGCAAAGAATATTGTGAGTAACATGGACTATCACAGTCGTCCCTCCCTGCCCTAGCCCCCCAAAAAAGAAATCTGTCTTGGAAATAGTACAGTCAGAACGCTCCTTAGAGGCAAGGATGGTGAGACTTCATCGCATATAATTTTAACATGTTGTCAGGAGAGACCAGTTCCTGGAGAAGGACATCTTCTACAGGATGGATTGACACAGAGCTGCATCCGAGGGCTCCAACATAAGAATGATTGTGAGGATGGCACAGGACCGGTGGTGGTGGTGGTGGGGGTTCCCAGTGGTGTAGATCGGGTCGCTCTGAGGCTGCGCCAACTCTAAGACATGTAAAGAACAAAACATAGTGACGTGTCTGCTTCACGTTCTAAGAAGTTGTCAAAGTGTTTTCTGAAGTGGTTGTACTGTTTGGTATTCCATCAGCAATGGCGGAGCATTCCAGTTGCTCCATATTTGTTTTGTTTTATGTTGTTTGTTGTAGTTATTCTAATAAGGGTGTAGGGCTATCTTATTGTGGTTTTATCATTATTTCCCTAATGACTAGTGATATCAAGATCTTTTCTTGTGCATACTTGCCATCCCAATATTTCTGCTTGGATGAAAGAATGTTGAAATATTTCCCCAGTTTTTAATGGGGTTGTCTCCCCTCATTATTGTGTGTTTGGGACATCTTTGCGCATTCCAGATATGGATTTGTATTTTGTAAATATTCTATCCTAGCTGTCTGCTCCTCTCTTTATTCTCCTCACAGTGTCTCTCAAAGAGCGCCCGAGTTTGATTTTGAGGCAGTCCACTTGATGATTGCTCTCTGTTGTGATCGTGCTCTCAGTGTGATGTATTAGGGATGTTTTCTAGTCCAAGGTTAAGAAGATTTCCTTTTTTTGTTTTTCTTAGAAGTTTTATAGTGTTAGTTTTTAGATTTAGCCTTGTGATTCACACAATAGTGGCTTTTTAATGCAGAACAAAATTTTAATAATTGTACCCTTTTATACTGTATGTCACTTTAGAGTTTACAAAATAGTCTATAAAATAATTCTTTCGTATTACCATAGTTTTGTTCATCTTTTATTTCTAGTTTGTAGATGAGAACATTGTGGTTCAGGGGCGTAAACATGTCATGCAGAGGCTAGAATATAGAGGAACTGCCACATGCTCTGAGACCCACGGCTCTAAATCTTTTCTCTCTGCAGCACACAACATTATATGCTCTCCTTTGGTGCAGCAGCCATTTCTGGGATTCTTTTTTTCCGTAGTGAACTTTTTAAAAGAAGGAAATTTGATTACTTTTTTCTCAAATGACTTTTGTATGAGAGATTTTGTTTGTTTTATTTTTCTGATGGAGTTGAAAGTGAATGCAACTATCAAAAGTGCTGAAATCTGAGCAATGAAGTCCCCAGGGATAGATGTGGGGCCAGGGCATGGCACCCCATCAGACTCGACTGGAAAGCACTCACAAAGGACAACAAATAGGCCTTGAACTATTTATAGGGGTTTTTGTTGTTGTAGTTGTTGTAGCTATTGTTTCATTTTCTATAGTTGCTTCCTTGTGATGGTGCATATTGTTGTCGCTGCATGCCTACCTGGAGGGGATAGGTGGGATAAACAAGCCGGGAGAGAGAACAACAGGATGACAGTTCCAAGGGGACATGGGAGAGGGGGAGGTGGGGGAAAGGAAGTGGCTGTTAACAAACCCAGGGACAAGGGAACAACAAGTGATCCAAAATCAGTGGCAAGGAGGGTGTAGGAGATCTGGCAGGGCTGGATCAAAGACAATGTAACTAAAAGGAATTCCTAAAACCCAAATGAAGGCTGAACATGATAGTGTAACAAGAGGAAAGTACAAAGAAATAGAGGAAAGAACTAGGAGGCAAAGGGTATTTATAGAGATCTAAATACAGGCATAT